AAGGAGGTTGAATAGCTGTCACAGGAGGTGACTTTCCAGTATTGCCCCCACTTGCAGATTTCTGGTTATTGAGTTGTTTTAGAGTCTCTGCTGAAGCATTAGCCCTGAGGATATCATTCTCATGTTCCAGTTGAGAGATTCTGTCAAGGAGCTCAGTGATTTTCTCCCTCAGGACCTCAACTTCTTCACGAACGGCAAACATCAGATGACTTTTTACCAAATCCTGGGAGAGAAAATATTTTAAATAAATGAATATAAATAATTAACAAATATAATACATAATTCTTCAATAATAACTAGCTTATCTTTAAAAATATTGTTCATCGTAAGCAGAAATTCTCCAAATATACAACAATTGAATTAGATATCAGAATTATTATACACCTTTCATAACATAGGCCCAAAGATATGATAACTTATCCTTTTTATATTTTACACATTCACATTACTTTTAAATTATTCCTTTAAATTATAAAAGAAACACTAATTATGAACATTGTTGTAAAAATATTTTTTTTATTTCTTTAAATTAAATAAAAAATTGATCACATAACTGACACATAATTAAAATGAATGTAGTTAAAAATGCCAATTATTATATGCTTTGTTTTATTTACAAAGAGTATCAAAATGAAATGTACGAGCAATATTAGGTGTCTCTTTAAAAAAAGTAAATAAAATAATTGAAAGGAAGAAATTACATTAAAATACAAAAAATTTACTACAATTTGAATAAAACTTTCATCACAAATTTTGAAAGGGAAAAAAAACTTAATTTTTAAACATGCTCCACACAATTCAGTTTAAATGCAAAAATGTGTTAGATTTCCATATTAAATATTCAAATAAAAATTTATTTCCACAATTTTAAAATGTGGTTATTTTTTACTTACAAAAAAAAAAAAGGAAATAAATAAATTACCATGGCTTGTTCTATCTTGTTATCAATAGCTACTGTATTTGCTCCAGTCGGTACAGCACTAAAAGAAATTTTAAAAATCAGGAATAAATTTCACTAATAAAATACATTAAAGTATGAAAACTAATTCTTAAAATTCGCGAAAATGCACATAAAAAATCACGCAATATTATAGTGTAAAACTATTAATCCCTTCCACTCTCACCCTACTCCTCAACACAGAGAATGAAAAAACAGTACTTTGTGATCTTAACACTCCGGCAAGTAATGTTTAGGATATATATATATATATTTAAAGAGGAAAACATTCAAATACACATTTAAGAGATTTTACGCAACTAAACACTTTACAAAAAAAGCACTCCAAAATCATGCGGAAAAGAAAACTTCGGTCTAAAGCCAAACAAAACAGAAATCGCGTTTCCCGCCCAAAACAGAAAAATAAACAAACCATAAAAAAAGCAGCACTTACGTAACACAGAGAGATTCATAAAAGAAGCACATTCTAAGATAATATAAAAACACTCAACGAGATAGCTAATCTACAACTTTAGAAAGCGCTCTCATTCCTGGTGGCACACAGCAAGATCACTAAACCATAACCTACTGCGACAGTCGCGTGAATAAGCTTGAACCTTGACACCACGAGTTTTGACTCTTGGAACAAAATATACTCGGATATATCATACGTCACCACAAGCACTACTGAACAAAAACCAGAAGCATCTTTCAACACGTTTCAAAGGCACAACGAGGATAACGTAAGTATTCTTGATCGCTCTCGCCTCGGTCGTCCCTCTTCTTGCAAGCAGAGGGTTGCCAGAAAACGGTCCGAGCGTTTATTTGGCGCCAAATACCAAACCAACCCCATTCGTCAAAAGCCGAAGATGACATACTCAACTATTAATTTTTGGATTGTTCATGGTTTTGAAATTTCAAATATTATTAGACAAAAAACAAAAAGATATGGGTTTAATCACAAATAAAATATACTTGTAATTAAAAAAAAATCCTCTGACAAACTTCCAAATTTAGAGTGTACATTTTAAACCTCAAAATATAATTAGACACGAAATAAAAACAAAAACATCGGTTCAAATAACTTACTCGATTTAAAATTAAATACGAATATTATTGAAAAAAAAAGTTACTTAGCTCAATTTCGAATTCATGGACATAAAAATTAATGTTTAAAGTTATTTTATAAACATAAAAAGTACAATCATAAAAGAAATAAATGAATTATTTGTTGTATATTCCCACGTATTCATTATCAGGAACCAAGTAATAAAATTTAAAACATGTGATTTTAAACTACAATGATTCGGAAAATATTAAACCAGTGTTCCGCGGACCGGTCCGTGGAGCAAACACTACCGGTCCGCACAAGAAACATTAAATTATTTCTCTTTCATTTACTGTGGTATATTTTTCTTAGGTTTGGACTATTTTTTATGAAAATCACTTAATATTCCTTGTTAAATCACTTTATATTCACTTTTTAGTGTAGCTATATTTTATTCAGAAGTCATGATTAAATAAAATAAAATTAATTATTAAATCAAAACAGTCTTAAATATAAACAATCAACATCCTCCCCCTCAGCGGGCCGTGGTAAAATTAACAAACGTTGACCGGTCCGCGGCGATAAAAAGGTTGCGGAGCACTGTATTAGACAACATTGTTTCAACATTCAAAGTGAGTTCAACATTGCAATCATTTATATTAATCGGACAATATCGTTATCAAATGAACAAAGAGAAACATAATACTCTCCTCATAAAAGAATATTTCTTGAATAATAATATTTGCATTATAAATAATATAGATCATTTAAAGAATATTAAGAAATTTACTTTGATTGAAACTCGTAAGAGAAAAACATTCTTGCTAAAGAAATAACATAAAACAGCCGTAATCGCACACACAATACTTTATTTTGAAAATTTCTTAATCGAAACAACTAATTTCAGCGAAACTGCATGATGGAAATGATCGCAATTAATAAAACATTGATATATGATTATGTATATCCAATCTTTCCAATATATATATATATATATATATTCAAAGAACCTAGCTTTACACTGTAATGCACTATTTCGTTAATAACAAAACTTATAATCATTTCTAATTACTGTATGTTTTTTTAAATTTTCTTCTAATAAAACAGACTTGAATACAAACAAGGGAGTGGGAAGGAAAGGTTTTTCTTTTATTAGGAAGATAAAAAATCATTCTTTTTATTTGTTTTTTTAATCCGCATTTACAACAGCAGGGGCGAAAAAAAGAATGAACTGCGGCAATATTTCCTTATTAAATCACCACAACACAACAGGCGCGAAAATAAAACGCGAGGCGATAAACCTCCTGAACTAGCAACTCCTTGCAAAACCAGTCACGTGATTTAATCGCCCATTGACGTCATCAACAAAGTTGGCCATAGGCCAATCGGCGATCTAAAGCAAAGCTACTTCCCCCAAACACCTGATTATTTCAGAGGGTCATTCACCCTTGCGCGTTTCGTAACTTCGTAGTAAGAACCCTATTCAGTATCTTCACATGCACGCGAAAAAATCGTAGTATCTATTTGCTAAATAACTGCTGTAAACGAAAACAGTTTCCCCTATTCCACATGCATACGTTTATCACTATGACAACAGCATTTTTATGAAAACTAGATATTATTACTTCAGCAATTGGAAACAAAATTTCACTTCCGCAATTAGGTATTTAAAATCGATTGATCAACGTGTTTTTGAACGAAAAAGGCATATTGCACTTTCTACTAACTTTTTCAATCCATCCAAAAATTGCAGCATTTCTTCCCTTATATCTTTAATCTAATTTTTATAGTTACAGGTCAATGAAAAATATTTATATAATAAGAATACGAACTATTAGTGACGTCCGAACATTTATGAAGATTAAAAAGAATCGAAAGAGAAATTTAAATATTACCTTACTAATACAATAACTCTAAAAGATAAAAATGGTGAATTAATTTGTTTAAAAGTACTACAGATATTCTGAAAAAGATTACAAAACAATTAGAAATATAAAAGTACATTTAATATTTCAAAAACTACCTTTATTTCAAACACGCTCTTGATGGAGAAAATCTCCATCCTTTATCGTTTTTGAAAAAATATTACCAAGGAAAACCAATATACTTCCACATAGTTAGGAACACTTTCCTCGAATATTGATTACCTTTTTACTTAAAAGTGAATAGCTATGTAACTGACATGCTGATCAGTTTTAAATGATATTATATATCACTACTCCAGTGGTTCTTAAACTGGGGGGTCCCAGAGCCTTTCTAGAGGTTTGTGAAGATTTCTCAATTAATGTTAAGAGAGATTTCCCACTGTTACACACTCTGAAAGGCCTCGAGGGAAAGATGTGTCATCCTACACTAAATTGTCCCCAATGAAAAAACTCAACCAGAACATGTATTTCGATCAAGAATACTCAGGTGTTTTATTTATTATTATTATTGTTTGCAACTACATAGCTATTACTACAATATAGTATTTTTTTAAAAATAGTAGAAACACAATTAAAATTGCGACCTTAGAAAAATAAAATGAAACTGCTGGAGCTGTGTGTGTAGTCTGTGTTGGAAAATAGTGTGTGGAGAAAAATAAATTAAATGCTTGGAATCTGTGTTGGCCGATTGATTGATTGAATATTAACGTCGCCCTGTTCAGCTACACGAGGGCTTTTGGCGACGGACCACGTAATTTTGAACCATGGTCAAGTGACGTGGACGACACCTAAGCTGGCACCCCCCTCTCCTAACTACCACACCACACCAACAGGAGGACGTTTCAGCTCTCGACAGATTTAACGTGCATCGCTGCCCTACACGGCGGGTCTTTAGTGGTACTGCGCTCGAACTCGTGACAAGGCAAGCCACGGTCCGATACCTATACCACTCGGCTACCGCGGCCACTCTGTGTTGGCCGATGCTGACTCCGTTACCGGAGGCTAGCGAACGGACAATTTAACCTTTTTGAAAAAAAGTTTTTTCTTTTTAAATAAAAATAAGTCAAACTAAGAAGCTAAAAAGCTACCTTGTCCCAGGTGAGGATAAAACTCACAACCTCGGCATCACTCAGAGGTACTGCTGTATAAGTAGTACCGCGCGCTAACCGATCGCGCCACTGGGGCTGATCAAAATCTTAGGAGTCCACAATGTCAGGCTGATACATAAAAGGGGACCGCGGCGAACTGAAGTCTAAGAACCGCTGCACTACTCCAACATTATTGTTTAAAACATTTGAAACAGATTAATCATAATTTAATTACTTTAAACTAAAAAAAAAAAAAAACTTTTCAGAATAGTATTTTTTAAAACCTCTACAAAGTTAAAATAAATGCTGAAATGAATAATAAAAATAAATATCAGATTTTTACATGCAGTAAGTCATAACATGAACGAAATTGCATGAATATTCAAAATATTTCAATAAATCATCTTTAAAAAAAAACTTCAGCGTCGGGATCGCAGTTCATTGAAATCATGAGGATTTGGGAATGGTGAAAGCGAGTGCACAATCTCTAGAACAATGAATTTCTGTCATAGAAAAAGAATTTCCTGGAACGCACGACGCTTCTGTTCTAAATTTGGAACTTTTCATTGGGAGTTCTCGTCATTTGTAGAGAGCAGATCTCGTTCTGTTCTTAGAAATCGAAATCTATTCTATGCAGAATTTTAACGATTCCGAGAAAGGATAACAAATAAAATTGAGAGGAGAGGAAGAGGGGGGAGTTGCAGACTACCGACATTAGCTAGACTGCTTGGCGACAGATGATTTAAATGACAGGATGATTTTTAAGAGGGGAGGGGAGGGGAGATAAACATTTGGAATAATGCCAATATGAAGACTGCCAACCATATCCCGAAAGCAATTCCACTACCAGCAAATTACGGAAACTAGCCTAGATAGTTCTTCGCAGCTAAGACACATCATTTATCTTGACACAACTCACCACAGACAGAAAAAAAAAAAAATTCTCGTTAAAACATTGCCTAAAGTTAAAATGATTCGATGGATTCAAGATTGCTCAGCTGCATTTGCAATTGAGTACGATAGCAGAAACTTCTTGAAATTTCGATTTATTTTCTGACTAAAAATTGAGACATTCATGTATTCGACAATACCCAATAATTTCCAAAAATTTTCTTTCATTCTTAAAATAAAGTTTTCTTGCGTATTCAAAACAGTCACCTAATATTAATGAAACCATTTAAAAGAATCGGAACAATTGTCAATAAAATTGAAATAATTAAACGCAAGAAAATAATATTGCAGTTTATTACAATTCTTTCATATTCAGCTCTATGAGTATTTGAAATACAATACTTTTAGTTTGGTAAAATGCATACAAAAAATTCCGCAAGTCCATTTCCCTCTTTTATAAATATATAATTCAATCGATATACTTTTTTCCTTCACGATAATATTTTTCGAATAACAAAAATTCCTGCAATTATATATTTCATCTTCTAATATAAACTTTTGACTTTTTCATTTAGCGAGTGCCTAAGGGAAGAGCTTGAAAAATTCTTCATTAGGTACAATTTTAGAGAAATATTTGCCGAAGTTAAGAGTATTGGTTTTACCAAACCCCTACTGATTTGATAAAATGTAATCATACAAAGGCTAAACAAGAATCAAACGCTCTTTAGCTGCATTACGATTAATCCTCAACAGATGGCAGCACTATAAGTAAATATTTTAATAATACATCATAAAAAAATTTATTTTCGTATATTTTTTTCATTACTCTGAAGTGAACATGAATGTATAAATTCATTACAAAAAGGAATCTCGAAAATATATTCAATTCAAGAATTCATAACTTAAAAATTTCTAATTTACGAAATGAAAAAATACTTATGAATAATAAATAATCTTATATTTCGATTAATTAAAGAGTATTGTAAAAAAATTATGTAACTGCATTAATCAGCAAAATAAAAGTAATCATTGAAAAACTCCATGCTCGATATTAGAATTTGTTAAGGATTATAGAGTCATATAATCACGAAATCACAATAAAAGTTTCAACAAACATTTCTAAACTTGATACCAGAAAATGCATGCAAAATATTTAAGTTGAAAAGTTTGAAAAACAACGATCCCTGCTTTCCAAATATGTACTGTGTATTTCTATTCTCATAAAATTTTAAATATAAAATTTGCTTTTAAAATATTTTACAAAATGGTTCTTGCTTCAATAATAACGATCTGACACTGCATTAAATAACAAAGTAACTTTTTAGTTTTCAAGAATGAGTTTAATATAGAAATCATAGAATTGTCCAAATTTCATATAACACTTGTATACTAAATAAAAATTATAACTAAAATTTTAATTTTCAAGTCTAACTTAAAAAAATTCTCACTTCACAAAAAATGAATCTACAAATACCAATAGACAATTATGAAAAAAAACTAATCTCCTAATAATTGAAAAAAAATTATGAAACATTCAGCTTGAATATAATTGAACACATACATGAAACAGTTTCAAATTGTTCAAAAAATCACTATCATTTTTTAAATTTTTTTTAAAAAAATGTCATCTTCAATATATATAAAGCAAGTAAATTTGAAATCAATTTTTTAAAAACAAACTTTGCAGCACAACAAAACATTTCAGAATAAGGGAGAAAAAAGGAATATTAGTATTTGAACATGGTAAAAATCAAGCACTCGGTATTTCATGACAGTAATGTCATTTTTAATGGTGTCAAGCCGAACACTAAACAAATGACACAAGAGCAATCAATCTACCGAGTACTAGATTTCACCAGTTACTAAAATCTAGTTCTAGCCACAAACACAAGACACACTGAAAGCTATTCAACTGTTTGAATTGACGAGAGATTTACCTTCCTGCAGAAGGGTCCACCTCTTGTCCAACTTCAGAAGAAGGAAGCTTTTCGGGGGCAGTTTGGGAACTAAGGGAGCAAAACATTAGAGTTAGGGAAACACATGAAATCACACGACTCAATACTTAATACATAGAAAATGAAATTTTCATCATTGATATTGTCTCTGAAATTTCTTAAGTACTCATTTAAAAATACATGCAAAGGATAATGAAAGTGTTTTAATTTCACAACTTTAAAATACATTCAAACCTTTCACATACACCTGGAAATAAAAGAAAGTTAACTGAAGAATAATATCAATAGTGGTGACTATTTAAAACAGAGAGAGAAGAGTTACCTTTATTTTTGTATAATTCAGATTTATTTGAAAGATGCTGAGTGATGGTGGTATTTATTCAACATTTATTGAAGAACATAATTTAATTCTTGCCAGTCATTTTTCATTTTTTATTTAACAATTAATATTTTATAAACATATTGTAAAAAAAAATAGCAAAACATTAATTTTATAAATGAAGAACCAAAATTTTTTTCATTCAAAAACATGTGCTTTAAAAGCACCCATATTCTTGTTGTTTGAAATAGTTCAAACAACAAGGAAATATTCAAGTTAATATGAAAAAAAAAATCACAAAACTCACTGCCGTATATTTTGTAGAATCTACTTTAAGTATTTCAATAAACCAACATCATTACACATTCAGCCCTTTTTTAAATTTCGATTGTATTTAAAATGAATTGATAAATGTTTAATGTGTAGTGCATAAGTTTGGAGGAAAAAAAGATCCTTTTCAATTTATAAGAAATGTAAAATGAAATGGAGCATAACATGGATTCAATGATATATAATTCATGGTTTATCCTACGTGCATTTATATATATATATAATTTCCTTCAGAAATTAAGTATCCTATATTTTTTTTCACATATTTTTTCTTTTTCTCAGTAAAAATAATTTCTTTTAAATTTAGTGCTCATATTTTTCTTTTTGGTATACAAGAAACAAAATTAAATTCTTGGGAAGAAGTAAAAATCGTAATCTTTTAATAGAAAATGGGGAAGAGCCAAAAGTAAAAGTTAAGTATCAAAAGACAGGAAGAAGGATTGGACGAAAAGATATACAAATATTTAACACAAATAACTAATTAATTAAAAATTTCTATTAATATATATTTTTTTCATAATACAGATGAATAAGATAGCATAAAAATATTTGTTACTAATTTTTTCTTTCTTTGCCGATAAATTTAGAAATTATACCTCCCATTCTAACTTCATACTTTCTAAAGACAAAAACTTATCGGAGTGGTTGTTAAAGAAACATGATTATTGATATAAATATAACCTAATAAATATCTCTAATTTAAGTTGGAGTCAATTGCATGTTTCGTGTTATTTTCTACCTCTGACTACAAACCGGAATCAACTGTTATGTAAGTACCCGAATTCTTAATCGCTAAGACGGATGTAAAACATTTCATGGATTTGCTATAACTACATTCCAGTTCAACACTATCCAAGATGCTACTAATTTTAAAATGAATTATTCTACATGCATTATTTTACATAAAATTATTGTTTTATTCTTACACTTCTAATGTTAATGGTATATGCTGACCTTATTTTACATACATATAATTATTACTGATTACTTAAATGATTCCCAATGAACATCATATCCGTTATTTTAATGTAATATATTATTTTAAAAAGTTTATATTTATAAATATATACAAATCATATTAATTAACACTTTTTCGTGCTTCTTAAATAGTTCAGGTCGCAAGCTGATGAGAACGTTACATGTCATTAAAAAGTAATATATTGAAATGAAGTGTTTTCAAAGTTTTCCCACTATCAATTTTCTCACTTACTTAGTTTGAATATAACGAATTCATTTTCAATTACAAAAAGTACCGATTTCTAGAAGTATTATGTACTTGCTTTGGGCAAGAAAAGTAACTTTGGCCATTCTTGAATGTAACTAGAATATTAGAAGAACGATGTTTTCCCCCGTATATTTCACCTTCTAAAAAGAATCCCCTCCCCCGGGTGAAATAAAATAACTGCTCTGCTCCCCCTAAAAACAGAGGGAAAAAGAAAACAAACTACGGCATCAAAAACGATTACGATGATTGAAATAGACAAAGAAAAGAATGTGCGTGACCTATTTTGTTCGTTCACAAAGCGAACATGTCAGCGACCTATATTCCTCAACAGCCAATGAGGATACAAGCTTTACTGCAATGATAGTTCGACTTCCCGG